TGCCCTGAGCCCTTAAACAGAGACATTGGCCAAAATAGCAAAAATCAGTGTGGAAAGTTCATCTTCCTGTTTTTAAAAAATAAATTAAATAGATCTCTAATTCCAAATCTCTGTTTAATGGTGTTTGCTCTATAATGTTTTTATCAAATCATGGCTGACAAATAGCACTGTTCTGAACTGATGTTTTATTTTTACTGGGACTAAATTTATTCTGCATCCTGAACACGAAAGATACAAAGGTAGCCTAACAGCCTACAACATCTCTATCTGATGCCGCCACACCAGGCAGCCCCAGAAATGAGCTCTTGGGAAAAAAATCACTCCTGACACTGCTGCAGGGATGGAGAGTTTGAATTGGTTTTTGCAGCTGGACGTGTCCAACAGACCTTACTCTGGGTAAAGAAATTTTCTGCAAGCAGAATTCTCTAGATGTCTCTTCCTCAGCATTATGTTTTGTTATTAATTTTGCAGATCTGCCAATGGCAATATCTCACACAGTATTCTTGCTACTGTATTTTTCACATCCACACAATACCACAGCCAGTTGGACAGTGCAAGCTTTGTTGAGAAGCTTATTCTAACCACTCACTGTAGCATTATAGGAATACTAGTAAGTGATTTACTTAAAAGTTTAAAGATATATTCCTTCACCCCATGTTGTTTCTCCAAATCCCACATTCCATTTTTAAACAAAAATATGTGTGTTTGATGTCGGCTTTGACAAGTTTTGTCCAAGGATAATTTAGAGTATGTTGCAGGAAAGGCAGCCACTGCAGTCAAGCAAGTCTCAAATACCTTTCCCTCTCTCAGGTTTTTCAAAATAATTAAAAAATCCATTGGCTGAATAAAGGGGAAAAACCTTACAGTCAATATTTTCAGTGTCTGCAGTTCTGATATTTTGGTTGTTCATTTATACTGTAACATAGCCAACATCTGTCCAAGGGCAGGCAAAGAGCAAAGGGCTCATCCTATGCAGTACCTGTAAATAGGGGTGGTAAGATTGAGGTAGGCAATCATTAGGATTGTGCAAGACAGAGACAAACCAGTAAGCAACCTCTTCCCAAAATGAAGGACAAAATTACAGCTCTTACTGGAAATGTGGGGGATTTTGATTTTTTTTTTTTTCTTTTTCTCTTGGCAGGCTCATAGTCATGGTAAAAATCCAGCAGGATTCTGTTCCATTTCTTCTCTACTGCATTCTGTTGTGCTGGCTGTCAGATAAGCCAGTGGTGTGATAAGAGTTTCACTGTGTACTGATCAAGTAAAGGTGTTGGTAAGTAAAGGTCTTCTTTTCTGTGATAAGTATTTGACAGTACTGAGGCCATGCAACCCTTGCAGATGCAGACATGCATCGGTGATAGACTGCCCTACTAGAGCACAGCAAGGTGGTGAGGATGACTGTTAGCAGGATGTAATCTTTCAGTTTAACAGCATTCTGTCACTGAGTGTTCTCTGTTTAAATGTAGTATCTGCTCTTGAAGAGCAGTCTCCCTACTAGTTGACTTCAGTAGGGCTGTCCTGTGCTCCCAGACTCTCAGGTTTCAGGCTAATGACTCAGAGCTGTCATCTTCAAGACTAGGTCTGGAGCAAGGACTCCTTTCTGCCTTTTCTAGGTTCTCTTTCCTGCTGTTACCTTCACTGAGTGAATCATGTCCTAACACACTTTTTATGGAGAAGCAAAAGAATTACCTGACATCTGTGTCTTTAAATAAGACATCCAGAACTAGCTACCTCCAAAATATAAAAGTTTCATAGCAACTTTTAGGGCCTAATTTTCATCTTTGCTGAGAAAGTCGGCAATTGTGTGAGACCTGAGGACTGTCCTTATAGCTACACTTAGTATTGATTCTCAATGTGGGATTTCTCCATCTTCTCTAAATACAAATGCAGATTACAAAACTTGGTTTTCCTATTTCAAATCCCTGAGATTTACCCCATTTTTAAAAGGAATTTGGAACATATAGCTTTTTTTATCTAAAACACTGTTGATGCAAGTTATTGTTATTCTCTCTGGGAAGTGATTTCACTGCTAGGAAACCCTGACACCAATTGGCTAAAGGAAAACAGATGCTTCAGCTCTCCTGGAGTAAAAGATTGAGGCGGTGTTGCAGTTAGGGTCTGGCGTTCGGAAGAAATCGCACTGTACGGAAAGTTAGGGCACACCCCCCTCTAGTGGCAGCTGATGGTATTTACTTTATAATGCAAGCAGACGGAAATGACGTTATGAATCCAGACTATAAAATGCTTTGTTTTGCTCGAATAAACGCCATTTGCCATTCATCAAATTGATGTGTATGCGCATGTGGTCCGAGTTGCCGGGGATTGGCTCTCGTACCATTTCCTGAACCAAGTCGCTGCGTTGTTGATATACGCAACAAGGCAGTAAACTTGGAGGTAGATTGATCTTAGTTTCTTGCAGGCAAAAATAACAAGAAGGTTGTGTGGGGTTGAATCTCTGTGGGGAGCAGGATTCTCTGAAAGCATAAAGTTTTATATTCAAGTTTTCTTTTATTGGGCCATTATTTTGAGCTTTGTCTTGCTGTCTTCATGGGAGGCAGCAGCAATGTCAACTTCCGTGGTATTGGATAATTAACATGGTATAAAAATTCAGCAGAAAGAAATTCATAGAAGGCTGTCAAGAACTGGCTTGAGTCTGTGAAGCTGAATAAAAAATATAAATCAGGATTCAAGTTCAGTCAAGTACCTTTCCTTATTTTATTTCGGTGTATGCCATTGTCCCAGATTTTCATGTGAACCTAATGGAGGCACAAAGAAGTATACAGAAAAGTGGTGCTTCTCAAACTCTGCTTTTTATCCTAATTATAATTTTCTCACAGTGGTTACACTTTAACAGATGAAACATGACAGAGGAAGCTGCTCCCAGTGGTTCATCTTTTCTGAAGCTTAGAGAGAGAGAAAGATAAAGAGAAATAATTAAGGTGACTAGCAAAATTTGTGCTGGATTTGATTTTTTCTCCTTACACTAATCTGTCAATTAAATGGTCCTTTCCTGAGCTTGTTTTTAATTTTTACTGGTAGCACTGGAAGAAAATAAGACAAATTGATTTTAGTATGTGGCTTATATACCATAAAAAGTTCAGCTCATGTTTTTGGTAGTTTCGTTTTGGGAGGTTTTAGTGAAACAAAGAATATATGGGACGTGATCACTTCAAATTTGACCTTCATGCTAAAATCAAGGACAATTACTGTGGTGCAATATGTCAGAACATCACACAAAGAGCTTTACCTTATGTTGTTACTGTTCGTATGCTCACAGAGGGCAGCAAAGTATTGCAGATCTGGGATCCAAGAGGACAGAGAAGGCTCTGAGGTGCAGTACCGAGGAAGAAATGTATCTTATTAACATGCAAGATCTGAAAGGAGAAATTCGGAGGCAATCAGATCATTACTGCTTAAATAACACTTAAGCTTTTTGTTCTTTAAGCTATGGGTGTTTGCTAGTAGAGGAGAGATGCTATTAAAAGAAACAGCTTAATTCCTCTAAGCTTAGACATACAGCAATCCCCATAGCTGTGGAAAGAGTCCCATCAGAAACACAATAGCTGGACATCTTGGGATTCAAAGTGGAGTATAATATGACTCATTTGGCATGAAAAGACACTTTAAATTTAGTCATACAATGAACAAAAGATTGAAATGGATTTGCAGCACAGTGAACATGATGACTGTTGCTATATTAAGTATTTTCATTACACCTTGAGATTTTCAGGTTGTTATAAGGTTGGTTGTTTCTTTCCTGGTTTCCATATATAAAGATATACAATCAGAGGTGGCTAGATGAAATGGTTCAGACACTATCCTTTGTTCTTTGTCTTTTGCCTGAAGACAGGAGTGTATTTCCTAGGCAACGTAGGAAACTTTTGCCTAGGCAACCCTTTAAAACTATGTAAACAGAGAAATTTGTGAAATTACTCTGCTTGATTTGTTACAGATCTATGGTACTTGGCAATGACTCTTCTTCAGCCTTTCAATGCCTTGGTACTTTGGCTTTCACTGCTGATAGTTAACGAGTTCAGTTAACACAGATAAACCTGAAGAGAAAATTTATTCCTGCCCAGTAATTCAGTGCAGTGCTCCTGCAGTCAGCAGTTTACCAGGCAGAGATGGACAAATTGGTCCCTAAGGTGAAAAGGGAGAACCAGGTACAGAGCTACGATCATCTAGCAATATTGTATTTTTGACACTTCTTATCATCTCTTTAATCTTGTTTCATTCCTCCTTAATGCTTTCATTTTGTCTTTTTACTTCTCTCTTTTTCTTCTGCCCCAGTAACTTTTACTAGGTTCTGCATACTTTCAGGAAGCTGAAAATGCTTTCTGCCTTTATAATGTTACTATAGATATTTGGCTTTCCATAAATAAAAAAATACAATACATTTTCACAGCATCTCATAAGACAGAGATGTAATTATGTTTTAATCTGATTGTGCCATTTGTGCTCTGAATCACTTACAGACTTTCCTACAATATCCTACTAAATGATTATTGCTTTTTCTTTCCAGGGTCCAGCTCTTAAAACCAGAAATCATGCTTGCTAGAGTGGGCTACTAATCTGGTCGTCATAATTTGATTTCTTCATACTAAATCCCAGTAACAGAATTTCCCCAAGGCATGTCTTGTCAGTTAGGTAACTTCATGCTCTGCTGTAAGCAGCAGATAGATCACCAAGTGCTTTCTGTCATGTGATAATACAAGTCACCTCCTTTCCCAAGCTGCCAAATCATAGTTTCTGTCCAAAAACTTAATAAGTACATGTAGAATTGTATACTTTCTTACCATGTTTTGTCTGTTGTGTGTACCAGACATCGTGGAATTAAAAAACTGTTTTTCAGCCTCCAAGCATCTATCACTAATAATACCACTTGATATGAAACATGACATAAAATTTCAGTGGCATATATTCATATTCTGTATAGACAATTTCTAGTCCACATATCCTCAGTATGCCCTCTGCAATTTCATGGTTGAAATAAGTAAAGCCAGCTCTGTTTCAACAAACTGCTTCCGAAGTATCCTTAATCTTCTGATTTAGCCCACTTTCTAGACCATATACTGTGATGTATGATTGGATTACAGCTGAAGTATGTTTGTTTTCTGGTTTTAGAGCATGTGCACCTCTGCACTAACATGATGCAGCATTTATTTCCTTGTATTTTCAGTGCCATAGACGGATGTAATAAAGAATTTTTCATCAGAGTAATGCATTTCTTAGCAAATGGAGCTTTCCACTGGAACAATTCAATTTTCCTGAGATGTTTTTATTTTCCTGGGGGGCAGGGGTGTTGGAAGGAGTTCAATACTCTCTGTAAGGAATAAGAAAACATAATGGGAGGAAAATCTTTAATTTTTACGTATTTTTAATAGAATTTTATTTTTTTTAATGAAATTTTAAAAAAATTTACTTTAAAGCAAACTCTAGGAGAAGAATTGACAGGTCTACAGGGTTTCCTTGGAAAAGGTAGACCTCTGGGAATAAAGGGAGATTTAGGACCATGGGGAGAGAAAGGACAAAAAGGAGAATGCAGAAGTAAAAAATAAATTTATCATGTTCCTATAATCTGATTTTCCAACTTTTAGTATATTTAAAAAAAAAAAAATAGTTGTGTTAATGTCCAGTATTATTATAACATCATTTGTGCAAAGGTGTGATTTCCAGAAGTATGAGGAGCAGAAAAATAAACTGTTACATAGGATATGAGTTAACCAACATAACTGAGAAAAAAAAAAAAAAAAAAAAAAAAGTCTGTAATGAGTCACTAGTTTATTGTTGTCTGTCAGTGGAATAACAAACCCCCTATATCACATTATAAACAGCAGGTTTTTTCTTTCAAAATTTGCTGGTTTGTGGGTTTTCTACTTCCATTATAGTTTAAAATGTTTATGTGTTTTTGCCTTTGAGAACTGTACTTTTCCCTCTGAATAGCAGGTAACTTTGACAGCCCTGAGAATTCAAATCTCACTCAAATATTCATCCTGGTCAGGGATAAGGCTCTCCCGCTGGGACAAGTTCCCATGGGACAAATTTTTAATGTGCCCTGTGATTTCTGCTCTGGAAGCCAAGTAGCTCTCTCACATGGCATTAGGCTACAGGAGAGTTAAGCATCCCAGAGACAGTTGTGTAGTTATTTTAATATAAGTTACTAAATAACACTCCTAACTCCTAGTTATAATAACCAGTGACCTGCAGAGATAAGTAACTGATTTGGAAACAAAAGTACAGGTTTTGGAGGCTGAACTAAACAGATACAAAAAAAGGTGAGTGCCATCATTAATTAGGTTTGGTTTTGGTAAAAAAAGAATTCTGGTAAAATGATGGACATGCTTGTGCTGGAGAAGGGACTGAAAGCAGTAGTTTGAAACAAATTTTATGAATTTCTCTTGTGTTGTTTATGGAAGACGGTCATTAATTAAATACTGTCTCACAGCAGCATGTCAGTGACTTGTCTGAAACATCCTTCCTGAACTTACCTGCTGAACTGTACATACAGAGCAGGGACTTTGTTACATGGTCTGCAGGCTCAGCTACTGTTCTCTGGGAGCTTGTGTTTTAAGCATTGCGGTATATCTCTCTTACTGTCTCAGTTATGGATAATTTTTTATGAGTGGATATGGATTGAGGTGCTGTCAACCTTGGACTGGCTGAAAGAAATTTGTCAGGAGATACTGTGTGAAAACTTTCAAAGAATGTTTCATCAGGGCATTATGAGGCCTGGTACAAATGATGCATTAGGGAAAAGCATAAGGTTCATTATTGTTCTTAAATTGACTTGGTGGAAATGACACACACTGCAATTTACCACATCATGAGCATCAGCAAAATAAAGTCATACAGCTCCACATCACCATGATTCCAAGAGAGTCTTAACCGGAGAAAGCACAACTTTAAAGACGTAGCTGTGCATAAAGGCTGAAATTTAACCTGAAATTGGAGCAAGAAATTGAAAAGCACAGAGATGCTGAACAGCTGCTAGCACTAATCTCTTCAGCCATTTCCCTTTTGTCCTCCTGTGCTTGTGTAGCAGCAGCCTACATGTCTGAAAATGTGGAGGTTTTACCTGGTACAGAAGCATAGCGGAGGTTCCCTGCCCACAAGAGCTTTTTGCTGGTACCATTCTCACCCTATCAGGGGCAACTTTAAATACAGTTTATGTATCTTTGTTACAAGGTGGTAGATGCCATTCATGCTAATCACAAAACTCCGTTAAAGACAATTGACAATAAGATAAAATAACTTGCCCAGTAAAGACAGCAACTGTTTTTCAAAAGAATTTAAGAACTTTAAAGAACTTTTTTTAACTAACTTTAACTTTTTTTTTAAAAACTTTTAAAGAAAATTTAAGCACTTTTTTAAAGTTTCGAAAGAACTTTAAACAAGACTTGTGGTTCAGTTTCTTGTGAAATTCCAGTTTTCTTGGAGTCCAGGCTTGATATTTCCAGGTGTCTATTTTGTTTGACTTCTATTGGATTCTGCCTACTGCTTCAACAACACAGCTTTAAAAGACTTTATTACACCTTCAAAGCAGGTTTATATGGGGATATTTGATGAACAGACTGGAGGCAGCTTCATTATTGGAATAGAGGGTCTATCACTTAAAGAAAGTAGAATGCTAGAGAGCTAAATAAAAAAAACAAAAAAATGCAGACTGTGCAGTAATACAAGACTCTGGAAAATGTAATATGTTAATTGTTCAAATTCACATGCCTTAATCATTTGCGAATTCTTGAACTGATGAATCTGAGGAAAGCCAAAATTTTTGCTCTCAATTATGCAATTAATAGAGAAGTTTGTCCCATAAAGGTGGTGGGAAATAACCAGAACCAGAGTGTATTCATAAGTGTTTTCTCTGTGGCATTTTTAGAGTATAATAAAATTAGAGGTTTATTTTGTTCAATTATTGTGACTTAAATTGTTTATCATAGTGGTAGTAAGGCTATTTAGCAGGCTGGTTGTTATACCTTCCTATAAGTTTCTTATTAATGCGGGAGGGATTCCCATCATTAATTCATGAGGGAAGCATTTTTGAATAATCTTTAAACTAATAAAAAATTCTTATATATTCTGTCTTTGTACTTGTGGAGATTATTCTCCACATGTTGCTTCTGTTCTTTTTGTTCTTTTATAATGTAAATAATAGTGCATACAGTCCTATGTCATTTCAGTATTTAGTGATGGCTTTGTTCCTGGTGCACTTTTACACTAATTCTAAAATTGACTGATAATGATTACTTAGAGACTAGTGATATTTGTTAGCTGGGTACAGAGCTCCATTGCATGCAAGTGATTACTGACATGCAAATAATTTATACAAGGAGGAGTAAGATGCTCAGCCAGGTTCCTTTGTGTGCTGCAGAAAAATCGCATGAGAAGAGGATGATGCTTTTTTTTTGTAATCTATAGGTATAACTGAAAGTAAAGAAGATATGGTTCACAATCTAAATGCAGTACAAAGAAGAAAATTTTTGTCTCAAATTGAACCCAAGAGCCTACTGGTGAAATGTACTTTCAAGTGGAATTTAGCTCATGCAGAAAAACAACAAAATGCCATATTTATATGAATAGGTCCTTAATGTGAGAGAAGTTATACCATAGGCTTTTATGATTTTCTTGATAGGAGCTTCTTTCACCTCAAGTAAACTACAGACGGGATTAACTAGGAATAGTTGAATGACCACATGACAACAAAGCCTAATACTTAAAGTTCGACAGTTGAGAAAAATGCTTATATGCAGGCTTTCCATTTTTGACCATGGAAGAACAGATTTTCGATTCCTCTTCCACTTAAAAGACATGTAAGGTAAGTACCTCTACAGAGATAAGGACTGTCTCTACACTGGCAAGTTAGGTGAACCTATGGGAACGTAGAATGTGTCTGTACAGACAAGCGTCTGATGGCTAGCTCATCTGTTTTATAGATGTTATTTTCATTGCCTAATTCCACATCTACCTTTGTAAGTAATGACATTTCTCTTTACCAGGTTATGCAGGTACAACAAAAAGCAGTTGCTGAGATTGGAGAAGGGTAGGAATTTTCTAGAGTATGATTTATCTGCTGATCTGCATAATGTTCTCCTCCTCATTACTGGCTATGTATCTTTGCAGTCCTCAAGTGAAGTGTTTTCCTTTTCTTCATTAATCGGTGTCCTGCAGCTATGAAAACAAGAACTCTTAAATTTTGCCAGAGAGCTTTTAGTCAGTTATATGAAAACACAGGATACGGTGCAATATTTAAAAGACACATTTGGGTTAATTTAGGACAAGAAAGAGACATTCTAGAAAGTAGGTAAAATCCTGTTGTGCTGAAAGGTTTAGGGATCAGTGGTAATTCAGTTTCCAATGCATTTGTTGGAAATTATTATGTAAATCTGCTTTGAGAGCATATCCAAGAACCACTGTGATACATTTTGTGATCATTTAATTTGGGGTTGGACTAAAAGCTATGGTGTATTATGCTCCCTGTGTGTCAGCCAGAAGGTTGCAGTGACTAAACTGCTGATTTGAAAAAGATTTGGAGGAATATTTTACAGATGTGAATGGTTTTGTTCTTTCAACTGATTTTTTTTTTTTTTTTTTTTTTTTTTTTTAGAAATGCTGTTTGCTCATTACCCTGTCAATCCCTCTCAAAAGTCCATCTCTAAAATGTAGTTTGGACTAATTTTTACCAGCAAATCTCCAATATAGTTGTCAGAAATTTGTACAGCTTCTTGTAACTTTATGTTAAGATTGATTGTGTTTGGAGAGCACTATGTATCATTCAAATGGGACCTATACCAACTGCAAAACTGTTTTCAGGTAAGTGCAAAAATATTCTTATGGGAGCAGCATTTGTTAATCAGCTGCTGGGTTTATCTTTCTAAAACACAGTTTCAGGTTATGTACAAGCTTAGGACGAGCTATCCTATCACATGTGAACAAACCCACAATCTCTGAAAAGCTCTTTTCCTTGTCTTTATTTTTCAAGTGGCAATTTTTGGTGGGAACTACAAGGTGGAAAGAGGAAGATATTTCAATCAGTAGCAACTTGTATGTAGTGCTTTAGTTTTCTATTAGAACATATAAATATGAGGCAAGGTGTGGTTAACATGCTCAGAGCAGAGGAGAAACATGCCCTTTGCTCTGCCTTGTGAAAACATCTCCCTTGTCTGTTAAACACAAAGAAGTGTTATGCAGAGAAGTCTATGGTCTTACTGCTACCAAAGTGGCTCTCCCCTTTGGCTTAGCATCTGGAGACACAGAAATATAATACCTTGATTGTAGTTTGGCCAATAATGCCTATGAGAAAAAAAATGCAGGAGAGCCTGGAAACCTAGGTGCAGTCTTATATCTCTTTTAAGGTCTCTGCCAAACCTCTCCGCACCTGCAGCGTGACTGGATCCTCTGTGTTATCTCTAGGGAGTGAATGTATCCTGAGGCACCTGCAATTAATATCTCTTTTTATGATCTGTGACCCTAGTAATGTTTCAGACCTTGGTAGCCTAAGAAGTTTAGATCAGTGCTTCAGGGTAGACAGTTGTGAGAGTTTTTTCCTGGCTGTTTGTGTGCTCTGCTTTGTTTAACTAGCAGCACAGTTTGTCCCATGGAGCTGAGCTTGTGTGTTAATCCTGCAAGAAGCTTCTGGTGGCTTTGCAGTGGGAGGAAGACTCCACAGTGTCTTCAGAGGTTGGCAGCCTCTTTCAGGGTGTTTAAATACAGATAAAAACTTCAAGCAGCTGGAGTAAGTACACAGAATGTAAGAACAGTAGTCATCTTTATGTGTCTGATGTCAGAGTGTGCTAGCACTGGCCTTCATGGAAATGGGCATTTCACTGCAAGTGCATCAGGATGTGTCTCAGTTGTTTACATTCCTAACTGCCCTACTCTATCTCACAGCTTGAACTTGAACACATTTCAGAGATTCACCAAAGCCAGTGAGAAGAAGGAGGGAATAAGCCATATGTTCCTGCCGCCTTGTTGCAGCTTTCCCCATCAGGCTTTCTGAGCTCTCTTGGGAAAGCTCTAGAAAGCATCTCTTCCCTTTCCACTCATCTGCACTGTTGGGCTACAACTCTTGGCCACATTCGCCTTGTGCTTGAGACATGTACAAAATAAAACTCTGTGCAATCTTACCCCCTGCTCCAAGAATTATTCCCAAGCATGTTTTTGATTCAAACTTTTGGTTTGATGCATAAGGGAACCACAAGCTGCTCTAGCTTAAACAGAACTTCACCAAATTTAGCTGGAAATCCTGAAACCTCTTAATCATCATCATAATGAATACTTTGGTTACTCTTTTGGTTATCTCATACTTTGCACATTATGGATCAAATGACACCTGTGTGAGGGTGTTCCATTCAGAAATGGTTTGATCAATGTTACTTTGCTTACAGATCATGACCTTTTAACCTCTCTGTCCCTTTATGCCTCCACCTTACTTAAGCAGCTATATGCATTCACAAAAGGTAAGGTAAAGAGGGTGAAGACAAGAAAAAATAAAGACAGGAAGATGAAGTGATGCATTTTTAAAACTTTTTTTCCATTTATTATAGAGACCTACAGGTAAACTGATAAAAAGAGATCTTTTAAGGGGGAAAAAAGAGATCAAATAAAAAGATCTTTTATTTGTGCAACAAAAACAAGTAGAGCAAATGTTATCTTGAAGCCTCAGATTTCCCTCTATGTGCTGTTAATTTCTAGTACCTGGTATTTAGCTTAAAGCTGCAATTGCCAGCATGTGGAGAATGTAATGGACAACCCATAGTTTGTTAATCAAACTTTGATTGTTTAATTGTTTTCTTTTAATTGTTTTTCTTACTTGCTTTGAAACTCATTTTGCCTGCTTAAAGATTAACCAACAGGACTTGCTGTAAGAGCAGTCTGCTTGAAATCGCATGCTTGCTTGCTTTGAACCTATAGCTATTCTGTGTTGTAAACAATGAAAATAGGGGTAAGAATTGGGGTTAGGTTGGGTAATCATGTGTGCAAAGAAATAATCACCAAGAATGCTATAACCCCCTCCTTCAAGACCACTGGAAGGCAGAAAGGACTCCCTAGCAACAGTTGGTGCAGCCGCAGAAGGAAGAAAGAGATACTTTACACCGGAAAAAAGCAGAGTATATAATGAGAGACTTTGGGGGGGGTTGTTGTGTGCTGTTGGTGGAGGAAGGAAACTCCCCGGCCACCCAGCGCTGTTTTACTTATTGCTGCTTGCTTAATAAAATTACTAAATTAATATTGGCATGGTCTCACTAATAAAATATAACAGAGAATCTCGGCTTCCATTTTCAAGACTGAAATGCATTTCTAGCTTTCATGATGGTGAAAAAAGGTTAAAAGCCTTTCATTTGGGAAGTTCTACAAACAAAGTGAATTTTTGTTTGTTTGGTGGGGTTTTTTTGTTTGTTTTTTTCTTGATCTCATGTTTTAAACTCTACCTTAAAGCAGAACCTGTATTTTTAAAAAATGGGGATTAAGCAGGCAGGAGTCTGTATGGCAAGAAAAGCTGCCAGCTTATTGCACAATAACCATTGTAAAAGCTATTTAACAAGTGTTTCAAATGTTGTCTCATACACTACAACATTTAAGTGCATTATATATCACTTACTGATAACTGTGTACTACACTGTCTCAAGTTACCTCGAGGTATCCAGTTGTTTTCAATGCTGCAGCCCTGAAGTTTATGCCCTGAAGTCAAATGCTCTCAGATTAGTTCTGGATTTGGCCTTCATTCTGGCAAATTATGTGCATTGTTGGAAA